ATATATTTCAGTTCAAAGCAGATAATGTGGGATTTTGTTCAGTTGTGTTGAAGGGGGCTCAGAGGTGGTTTTGCCACAGTTCCTTCCTCTGTAATCTAACCCGTAGAACCTGTATGTATTGGTGTCTCCCACAAACCAGGCCTAACTCTGTTTACCTTCCAAGTTTAGATGGCGTTGACATGTCTAGGCGACATGTGGGTGCATCTATACTGGAATGAATACTGTTGGACACCACAAACAGCCCTGGCTCAATGCTATGGAATCACAGGAGTTGTTGTTTACCAGCTCTTTAGCCTTCTCAGACAAAGAGTGCTGGTGCCTCACTAAACTATAACTCCCAGGATTCGATTGCTTTGAGCCATGGCAGGTTAAAGGGATCAAGCTGCAGTGTAGATGCACCTCCTAATAAAATTTTAGATGTTGCACAATCAGTCTTCATTTGGAAGTAAATGTATATAGAAAATCACATGCTATATCTGTCCTGAAACAGTACAGTGACAGAGGTGATAGTCTAGATTTTCCCCTGATCACCAGGGAAGCATTATAATTTTATACCAAATGTTCCATGTACATACCATTGAATCCCCAGAGAAGCCTATAAAGCATTCTTTTTCTGAAATGCTGGGAAGCCAATTCATGAAATTGTGATGGAGATAATCTGTTATAAACAGACAATCGTATATAAGTATATAAACTCTCTCAAGTTTGGCTACCAGTATTAAAAACTAAAATCAAGACATTAAATAAGGAGCAATACTCAAAAAGCAGGGGAATTCCAGAAAATAAACAATTAGGGCTAGCTAACACCTCTCAATAAATAATTTCTCCAGGCAGCAACCAGTTAGGCTTTGAAGCTGCTAGGCCATTAAATGCTATTCAAGGTGGCCAATTGCAACATTCACATCTGCCTCAAGCAGACAAGAGTTCTTTCTCCCACTCTAGACATTCCACAGATGTATAAACCTCACTTGCCTATCCAACAGACGCCTCAACCTCTGAGGATGCCTGCCATAGATATGGGTGAAATATCAGGAGAGAATGCTTCTGGAATATGGCCATATAGCCCGGAAAACTCACAGCAATCCCTCAAGTTTATACATGAATTCTGTACTTACAATAATATAATCTAAAACAATAACAGAAAGCTTTTGCATTCTTACATATAAGTATTCTAAGGCACCCCTCTCCAACTGGATCCTAGCTGTTATGCTGTGCTTTTCAATATTTTACTTCCCAAAGCAATACATGTTGAATATCCCTACTCCAAAATGCTTGGAATCTGAAGTGTTTTGGATTTCAGAATTGGGAATGCTTGCATGTCCATTACCTTGGAGATGGAGCTTGTGTCTAAACACAAGATTATGTTTCATATACACCTTGCTGGAGAAAATGTCATACAAATTCATTTTTTTTAAAAAAATGTGCATAAAATAAAGTTTGTATACAGTTAATCTTTAGAAAGCAACAGTGTCACTATCTCAGCTACCCATGTTGGGAGCATTTCGGATTTCTGGTTAAGGGATACTCAGCCTGTAGGTGTTGTAGATGTGTATTGTAACTTCAAATCACCAGATAACCCCATGCATTTCATAGAGCTTTCTTAGGCAAGGAATACTCAAGAGGTTGCTTTGCCATTTCTTTCCTCTGAAACATCCTGTAGCACCTAATCTTTCATCCAAATGCTTAGCCAGGGCTGACCCTGGCTAAGTTCAGATAGGATCTGGTAGCTTTAGGATATTAAGCATTACTGCTCATTAGTAATGTGAAGTTGCATTTTGTCATAAAAAGGAATTTCAGCATTTCTTACCATAATTAGAAATCTGAAAATTGGGGGCATGGATTCTGTGAGTTTGTAACGCGTTTGTAGTACTTTGGAAGTACTGGAACATTCTGAGATGATTTAAAACTATTCCTCCTTTTCCCCCCCCCAAAATCAGGGTTGATCCTTTCTCAAAGAAGGACTGGTACGATGTCAAGGCCCCAGCAATGTTTAATATTCGAAACATTGGGAAGACATTAGTCACCAGGACTCAGGGAACAAGTAAGTTGCATCAGTATGAGGTCTGTTGTTTACTTCTAGTGTTGTAGGACCTGTTCAATAATATTTGATGAATTGAGGTGTTTCTACCAATGATTTCGTATAGTACTTGATGTTTTTAGTTTAAATGCAAGGGTTAAGGTTGTCTAAATTGAGCTGTATAGGAAAAATCTTAAATTGTGTTTTTTCTATTTCTGGTAAAGTCTGTAATTAAAAGAAACTATAAAAGGTAGGGCTTAATCTGATTGTTAGTGTGACATAAAGTAGACCCACTGAATCAGTATAAACATTTAATGTAAATTCCATTGATTTATTAGGTTTGTCTGGTATAACATTTGGACATAGGGTACTGTGTGTTGTCGAAGGCTTTCATGGCCAGAATCAGTGAGTTGCTGTGAGTTTTCTGGGCTGTAGGGCCAAGTTCAGAAGTAGTCTCTCCTGATGTTTCGCCCACATCTATGGCAGGATGCCTGCCATCGATGCTGACAAAACATCAGGAGAAAATACTTATGGAACATGGTCATACAGCCCTGAAAACTCACAGCAAGCCATAGGGTACTGTTTCATTAACTGGGCAGAGGCCATCAGGGGGTGCTAGAGAGAGGATCGTCCCATTTATTGGGGAGGGAGGTTAAAGGAGGAAAACCATATCTCCCATTTTCACTAGTCATCCCCCCCCCCCTTCCCATGGTTGTTTCCATGACTGGGGACATGGGTGGGAAATTGTTTTCCTCCTTCAACCCACCCTCCACCCCCACAAAAGGGACAATCCTCCTCTATAGCGCCCCTGGTGACCTCCACCTAGATAATGGAACAGTATGGGCAACATTGAACATTAGGATTACACTGCTTTTTACTTAAGATTTTTCACAATTTCTGGTGAAAAGATGATACAATTCTGAGGTGTTTTAGATTGCAGCATTAGCTTAGTATAATGGATTTTGCAACAAAGGCTTGATGAAATATTAACACAATGTAATTATTACAGAAATTGCCTCTGATGGACTTAAAGGCCGTGTGTTTGAAGTAAGTCTTGCTGACCTACAGAATGATGAAGTTGCCTTCCGTAAATTCAAACTGATCACTGAGGATGTGCAAGGAAAGAATTGTCTGACCAACTTCCATGGCATGGACCTGACACGTGACAAAATGTGCTCGATGGTCAAAAAATGGCAGGTTAGTAATGCTAGCATATAGTTGTACTAAGCTTTAAGTGTTGCATTTCTTTGTGGGATTTTTAGACTATATGATTGCTAAAGATTGGTGAAGTAGACATTATGGAGGATGGTGGTCTAGGAACACGGGTACTTGAGGAAATTATGCTAGTTTGTTAAACTTGGAACATGGTAGTTTTAAGAGCATTTAATCTTGTTAATGTTTTGGTAGTTAACACTTTTGTCTTAAGTTGCACATAAATTGTGATCTTATGTGGGGGGAGGGCAGTGGGTTAAATCACTGAGTTTCTGAGCTTGTTGACCGAAAGGTTGGTGGTTCGAATCTGGGAAGTGGGATGAGCTCGTGCTGTGAGCCCAGCTTCTGCCAACCTAGCAGTTCGAAAACATGCAAATGTGAGTAGATCAATAGGTACCGTTTCTACAGGAAGGTAATACCACTCCATGCAGTCATGCTGGCCACATGACCTTAGAGGTGTCTACAGACAATGCTGGCTCTTTGGCATAGAAATGGAGATGAGCACCCCCCCCCCCCCCCCGAGTCGGGCACAACTAGATGTCAGGAGAAACCTTTACTTTACCTTATGATCTTATGTTAAGTCTTACGTTTTATATTTTTTTTCCCAGACAATGATTGAAGCCCATGTTGATGTCAAAACTACAGACGGATATCTTCTGCGCCTTTTCTGTGTTGGCTTCACTAAGAAGCGTACCAACCAGATTCGCAAGACTTCCTATGCCCAGCACCAGCAGGTCCGCCAAATCCGGAAGAAAATGGTGGAAATCATGACACGAGAAGTACAAACAAATGATCTGAAAGAAGTTGTCAACAAACTGTAGGTTGATTTGTTTTTAGAAAGGCAGTCTTTACCTTAATGTGTAGCAGTGTTCTTGATTCTGCTTTTTGTTCTTACTTTATGCTTGCAGTCTCCAAAACAATGTTTTGAGTAAAAGCAATTTCAGTGCCACTGATATAGCCCAACTTCATGCAATGCAATGTTGTATAACAGCAGCATCATTTTATCTTGCCATTTGTAGATAATCTTAACTGTTACATTTTACTGGGGTGGATCCACACTTGGCTGTAGGCAATTACAGGGGCTTTAATTGGTTATAACTGATCTGTCCTGTAAATTTTATTGGATTTGCTATGCTGTATCTAGTAATTTAGTTTGATTTCATTGTAGTTATTTGTAGACAATTCTTTTCAGCCATACTTGGGATTAAGCTCTTCTTATAGGCATTGTAATGCTTCACAAATCACAGATGGTAATCAGACTTTTTAATTAAAAGGGGAAAAAATCAAATTTGGGTGAATTTAAGGTGATACCATTATATTTTGTAAAGAGGGAACTGTGCTGGTTTTGATGCTATCTACTGTTGTGCTCCCATCATGCACATAAGGGTTTTCTATACTATCCAAATCACATTGGATGGCAAGTGATCTATTTTAGTTTGAAAATAGGTCACAACATCTATCTGTTTTTGCAACATGGGGATAATCCCATCAGCAAGTGGACGTCAGAAACCACCGTCATAAAACAGTCACATTTCAGTCTATCTATATTTCTGTTAAGTTTGGTAATTTAGGAGAATGCTAAGTGAAAAATTTCTTTCTTTTAGGATCCCAGACAGCATTGGTAAAGATATAGAAAAGGCATGTCAGTCAATCTATCCCCTTCATGACGTCTATGTTCGTAAAGTCAAGATGCTTAAGAAACCCAAATTCGAATGTAAGTATTGTTTTATATCTCAAAAGATTATCATTCAGTATATTCATTTGGTATGGGAATGAATGATGACACCTTGTTTCGGTCCCATATGAATCTGTGATTATGCTTTTCTAATGCTGACATTCCCATACACCACAAAAGAGGAATTTTAAAAGTTTTGTGAAAGATATAAAACAAATGTTCAAGCAGCTTAATATGAAATGTGGTTGGATTCCTTAAAGGCCCATGAATTCATTTAAACTTGAATTTTCTTTTGTAGTGGGCAAGCTGATGGAACTGCACGGTGAAGGTGGTGGTGCTGGAAAGCCATCCAGTGATGAAGCTGGTGCCAAGGTAGAACGGGCCGATGGGTATGAGCCCCCTGTGCAAGAATCTGTCTAAACTCAGTTAACAACAACACAAAATAAAAACAAAAGGTTTAATATAATCTCTGGCGATGTGTTTTTGTGTGTGACACTTACTTACATTTTGTTGTGGTTTGCTAACTTGCAGTGGTTCTCAACCTGTGGGTCCCCAGATCTTTTGGCCTCCAACTCCCAGAAATCCTGACAGCTGGTAAACTGGCTGAGATTACTGGGAGTTGTAGGCCAAAACACCTGGGGACCCACAGGTTGAGAACCACTGTGCTCTGACAAGGTCTCTGATTTGGAAGCGATTTTGATAATTGGAATTTTCTGTTTTGCTTTAATTTTGGGAGCAAAATTGTTCCCAGGCACAAGTACATGACCAAACCTGTCGGGACAAATTGCCATGCAGCCTCTGAATGATAATAATAATTACAAAGTTCTATTCCTGGCTTGAAAGTATGTTTCTATTTAATAGTGTAGCTCTGATGCTGAAAGTAGTGGTTCTATTCCAGAAACCTGGTGTGCCACAAACTTCATTAAATGTGTGGAGGACAAAGTCAACTTTTACCATCTTTTCAGGATAAAAACAACGAGGAACAGTTATGTGTGACCCAGGAACAAAACCCGTATGAACAATGCGGATATTTGCACCTGCACATTTAGTTGTTTTTTTTTTTTTAAGCTGAAATTTCCGGCAGACATCCCACAGCAGCCATCTTGCGAGCTTTGAAATCCTATCACCAGAAGTGACTTGCAGTATTTTGACACTAAAATTGTACTTCTAAAATCTGGGAATGTCCCTACATATCCTTCTTGCTACCTGGAAAAATAGCTTTGTCAAGGTTTCTGCTCTGTATTGACGTGAGCCATAATGTTATTATATGAAGAACAACCCTAGGTGGTTTCATCCAGACTTCAGATAAGTAGCAGAAGGTGACAGGCAGGGTTCTTCAGTTTCACCTGGGATTCTTGTCTCAGACTACTTAGAAATACATGGTGTTCTCTAGGTATTTTCTGTTCAAGGACTAAGTAGGCCCATACCAGTTTACCTGACAAGTTGTGTCTAGGGTGGTAAGTTAAATATAATTTACTTAATACAGCACATTCAAGCTTTATATATACGAGATGTAAGATTAGGATTATACATCTACTTTTTAATTGACATATTTTAAGAGCCCTTTAGGTGGCACTGTTGGAATGAGGCTAGTACATTTGGCAACAGTTTGCAAAACTGAGATGACTCAGCCAGATGGTTATTTAAATTTATGAAATGCTAATAGATACAATAGCACTAATTTACTCTCACAAAATAACAATTAATGCATTTTTCATTAATAAGGCCAAAGAAACCCACACGGAATTCAAAGTACTATTAAATATCAGAATTTGCTCTTGATCAAAACACAAGTGTTTGTTATTCTAACGTTTCAAACAAGTAAACACTGTGTTCAGTCTGCTTAGAATTGGCTTTCAGTAAACACCTCAAGTGGCACAGCTAAAGCCATAGTTTAAGAGTTGCACTGAATTTTATATTAAAATAAATTGACCTTAGCACATAGTGGGTTCAAGTTTTCTCTATGGTAATATGGGAAATGTTGTTTCCAAAATAGGTGCCCATATTTTACATTCAACCATTCTGCTATCATTTGGACTGTCTAATACAGGGGTCCTCAAACTAAGCCCCGAGGGCCAAATACGGCCCTCCAAGGTAATTTACCCGACCCTCACTCGGGGTCAACTTAAGTGTGAAATGACTCGAAAGCACACAACAACAACAATCCTATCTCATCGGCCAAAACCAGGCCCACACTTCCCATTCAAATAATAATAAGTTTATATTTGTTAAAATAGTTTTCATTTTAATTACTGTATTGTTTTAAGTGTTTTTTGCACTTAAAATAAGATATGTGCAGTGTGCATAGGAATTCGTGTTTTTTTCAAATTATAATTCGGTCCACCAACAGTTTGAGGGATTGTGACCTGGCCCTCTGTTTATAAAGTTTGAGGACCCCTGGTCTAATAGATGCAATTCTTTTCCTTACTGTGTCTCTTTCTATTGGGATGAATGATACTTCTTGTTTGCAGCCACTTTCCTTTGTTAACTGAGTGAGCTCACCAGTTTAGAAGCTGCTCATGGCTACTTGAAAATATACATATTTATAAGATTGTTTACTTTTGTTTTTAAAAAATGAAACGTGTCAGACTTAAGACGTCTGTATATCTTCCCATACAAAAGCTTTATTACCTAATAAGTAGACACCAAGATGCAACATCTATGGATTGCGTTATGAAAATATGCTAACTTGCAAAGTGTTCCATTACAATAGGAATCTGAGAAATTGTATTAGAAATCAAGCATTTTCCAGTACCCAAACAAGCTTACTTGTGATAAAAATCTTTTCTTGAAAATAACATTTTTATGCATCCTCAAAGTACTAGTAATAGTACTTTCAACTTTTTAATGAAGTACACCTATTTTTAGCCCAACTTTATGCAATAGAAATAAACTGTGAAGGAAAGCAAATGCTTTGATTGACCAGCGGGAGGAAACAGCAATTAATGCTAACATGGTGAAGTGATCTGAGCATTGGACTAGAATTTGAGTCCTTGTTGGGCCATGGAAACCCATTGGGTGAGTCACACCCATCACCAGAAAATCCAGTAGTAGATTCACCTTAGGGTCACACTAGTCAGTAATGACTTGAAGACAAACAGATATATATATTTTTTCACCCCAGTAATAAAATACTAGTAACAAAAGGAATAGGTTTCTAAATGAGTCATTATATGTGACAACCACTCTATAGACAAGGCATGGACAAACTTCAGCCCTCCAGATGTTTTGGACTTTTAAGAAAACCCAGTTAGTTTACCGGCTATTAGGAATTGTGGGAGTTGACGTCCAAAACACCTGGAGGGTTGAAGTTTGTCCATGCCTGCTGTAAACCACCAAAACGTAACCACTGGAAACTGATTTCCTGTATGCAATGTACTAGCTTTCTTGTCCACTACACTCATGCACAAGTATGTGTGGATATTGTCACCATGCATTAAATTTAACATACCTTCCTCCATTTCCAAGCTACTGGGATAACTTTTAGTGTTAACATTGTCTCTAACCAGGGGTGGCATCTCATCATCGCAGCACTACTCATTTATATCTTGGATACCCGGCATTGCCCGGGTTATTTGAAAAAGTCAGTTTTTTTAATTGTACAAAATACATAAAGTTGTGGATGAACTGCAACTCACATCATGCCAGGTTAACTCCGAGAAACTCCATCAGTACTTAAAGTTTGTCATTTTGCAAGTCTGCTCTAGATGCATCATCGGTGGGGTTCTGTTTACTCCCTGGCTGTAAAGTAAAATACAACTCCCACTGGTGAGTCTGCCCCCTCAAACCCCTCCAATAGGTTGAGTTAGTCATGGGGGTTGTGTGTGCCAAGTTTGGTCCTGGTCCATCAGTGTTTGGGTTCACAGTGCTCTCTAGATATAGGTGAACTACAATTCCCTCAAATCAAGATGAATTTTCCCCAAAGGCCACCAGTATTTTTTTCAGGTCACGGGGGCTCTGTGTTGAAACTTTGATCCAATTCCATCTTTCGTAGAGTGCTAATTAATTGCAGGTGAACTATAAATCCCAGTACTTACAACTCCAAAATGTCTAGGCCAATTCCCCTCAAAACCCACCAGTATTCAAATTTGGGCATATCCCGGTATGCATGCCAAGTCTGACCCAGATCCATCATTGTTTGGGTTCATAGTGCACTGTGGCTGTAGGTGAACTACAACTCCTATAAATCCCTCCAAAGACCTCCAGTATTTTTGTTGGTCATGGGGGTTTGTGTGCCAAGTTAGTTACAAGTCCATCGTTGGTGGAGTTCAGAGTAATCTTGGATTGCAGGTGAACTATACATCCCAGTACCTACAACTCCTATAAATCATGAATTCTCGTCAAACCTCTCTAGTATGTTCAGTTGCTCATCAATTCCTCTGTTTGCTGTCTGCCATAGAAAAGAATGCAAAAGGGTTATGGGAGAGGCAGTGGGCGGGGTCATGCAAATTCCACACTAATGGAGAGAGTTAAGAAACACTGGGATGTCTGTGGTGGAGGAAACACATAAAATCTAGGATGAAATTGTCCCTGTATGAAAACCTTCACTTGGGTGGTGGGCAATATGGTGTTTGTGGAGGACATTGGCAGGGCTCTTGTACATGTTCATGGCACTCATGATAACCTTCAATGTCATTGGAGGGAGGGCCTTTGGTGCCTCCTGAGTAGTGGAGCAATAGGTGTTTGTGGAGGCAGGAGTTCATAAGTGGACACCCCAGCTACATGCACACACACGTCATTGTGGACACCTCAGACACATGCAAACACATATTTTCACTTTTATTATGCGTATTATGGTGCTATACTTTTCATTTTGTAAAGGGTCCTCCTGTTCCATGCCATATAGATTTGTTTCACAGACTATATGATAAAGCATGCTTTCTATTAGAAACACTTCAAATGTTTTAGCTCTTTTTTGGTTAGTCTCTAGCTGCTTTGTGAAAAAATGTCAGGATGTCCTCTGCAGGTTGTTGCATTTCTGCCTCTCATGAAACCAGGATTTATGCTTGGCCTTTATTGTTCTTTTGGGACAAAAAAGCACCCAAGTTAAATAAAATAGATTTTTTTCTGCCAGTTGTTCATTACAAAAAAATCATATGACAACTTGCCGAAATTCAGGGACATTATGTAAATTATTTGGATAACATTAAAAGCTTGCCTTGT